TAACATCTCACAAGCTGCTGGCTAATATGTTAAGTTCCCAGGGAAACCCCAGTGAGTTTGGACTCACCCAGGTCCAAAGAGGAAAACCAGTGCTTGGGCCATCTGTTTGCTTTGGACAAAACTCATACCCAGTGACCTTAATGGAATTCATCCTTCAAATTACTCAGAAGAAAGTCTCTCTGGGTGAATTCTGCTATCATGTCAGGATGCAAAATGTGGATGCAAAAGGGCAATTTTTAATTCATGCAAACGTTTGGACATTGTCTTAAAATTCTTTACAGTTACAACTTGCTGAACCCTCTTTGTTTCATGTGGGAGTAAAAATCTCTGGGGATGGCCCAGAAATGTCTGGGATGTACTTGTAGGGTAGCTACAGGGACTCTCTGAATATAGTGTGAACACGGAATTGCACTGCAATGTTTTCTAACAGGCTGGTACCCTGTGGAGCAGGTCTTGCTGAACCTGTTATCAAACCATAGGGATTGAGAAATGCGGCTGTGCTTGAAGTTTTTCAAGTCTCTGATGATGCTTGACATTCATTTGATGATTATATTCGCTGACACCTTCTTCTGGATTTTGCAAAGTTAAGTCATTGCATCATTGAGAAAGCGATTTATCTAGAGGTTTTTAACGAATTGCAATTCATCAGCACAGTGGCCTTTGATTTTAAATAAAAGATACATGGGTCCCCAAAATTAAGAGTTAAAAGGAGAATTTAAGCGAGAATATTTAAACCTTGAACCTGTCTGTATTGTCCTATTCTTTGTCAGTGTCTTCTGATTGTTAGTGGAGTCTATCTGACATGCCAGATATCCTGGGCCTGTGATTTGTTTTTCAGTGCTCTTCTGGAGGAAGATTTTGATTTTTTTTTCCCTTTTCACTTAATTTATACTAAGTGAATCAGTAATACTTAGTGAATCAGTAACCAAGTGATCTAGATAAGAGGATTGTCAGAGCCTTTATGTTTTGGAGTCAGCTTCAGGGTGTTTGGGCTAGAAATCAAAAAGAAGAAGAATGCAAAAAGATTTTAAAATCGGGGCAACACTTTAGTTTGAATGGATGGTTTGATATGAGAGGAGTCATCCCAGTGAGGGAGAAAATAGGGAAACTGGGTTAATAAACTCTTGTATTTGATTAAAACAAGAAAGAAATGAGGAGAGGGGCATGTCAATTAGCTTGACTGCAACAATCATTTTGCTCTATATATTTTTATCAAAATATCATGTTTTACACTTAAATGTATACAACTTTTATTACAAATAAAAAGAATGCACATAGAGTAGAAGAGTGTAATAGAATCAAGCATATCTTTATGATCTTTTTGAAAAACATAATTGCTAGTCTCTGCCACCATCTTACGGATGTGCTTTTTTCCTGGTGTTATTTTGCTCTTGGCTGGTTTGTCTTAAGGGATGATTCATTCTGCTCTCTCAGTGACCAGCTTTTCGAACAGAATATAATGCTCATTTCTGCTAGGAGAACCAGGAGTCATTGGAAAGCAGCGTGTTTCCAGCAAGAGATTTCAAGATGTGCCTCAAGTAGCTTATTAACACAATGCAAGGATATGGTCAGAAATACAGGGCTGGGGAGACGAACCATGAGAGACGATGGACTCTGAAAAACAAACTGGGAGTTTTGAGGGGAGGGGAGTGGGAGGATGGGTTAGCCTGGTGATGGGTATTAAGGAGGGCACGCTCTGCATGGAGCACTGGGTGTTAATACACAACAATGAATCATGGAACACTACATCAAAAACTAATGATGTAATGTATGGTGATTAACATAACAATAAAAAATTAAAAAAAACTAAAAAAGAAAAAGAAGTACAGGGCTGGGGAAAAATAGTAAAAGGCTAAAGGTCAGCCTGAAGGTAGGGTTTCTAGTGACCAATTCCCATCAAAAAGAATACAGTGACAGCAGCCATTGCAATTTATTAAAACCAGTTACTCTGAAAGGCTAAAAATGTCTAAAGGGGCTCAAAAGGAAGGAACATATAATAAAATGTGTGCCATGTGAAAGGTATGACCACCAAGGTGAGTCAGTTGACTGATGCTCTCTACCTCACAGAGATCAAACAGGAGGGAATCATTTATTTTGTAAAGAAATACAGGGCATTGATTTATTTGATGCAATGTCTTCTTCCTGGGAGATGGTTCGAGCAGTGCTTGCAGCCATAGTAACAGGTGTTGCAATCCAGGCTGCTCGCCCTCAGTGTATCCCATTGTTCAGGACTAGGCACCCATTCCCCCAGTGCGGGGAGTATTGGAGGCAGACAGCTTGCTAAAGGGAGCTGCCTGATTCGGGATCACATCCCTCTAGGGTGGTAACCCCCATCTATCATCGCTGGAGGCTCCACACCCTGCCATCCGTGAGGAATGCTTCCGAAGGGCCCTCCTATCTCCAGAGCTCCCGGTGGAATCCACTGAGGTCTTGGCTGGGACTGCATCACAACTCACCTGTCTCATCTTGCTCCCTTTGCTCCCTGGCAGGTGTATGGGTGTTGCTTCCAGGAGCACACCATAGAAACCTTTCTGCTCTCACACCTCCATCTCAGAATCCGCATCCCTGGGAACCAATTTGCCTGTATATAAATATGTTCTGCTTGAAATATAAGAAATGCTTTGGAAAGACCAAAGTGACTAGCCCTGCTGGGTTGCTAGAGCAAAAATATTGGCACAGGGTAGAAAATAGATGGCAGAGCTAAAGCTTAAGCCTGCTAAGGGATGACACACCTGAGAAATTTACCTTTGACTCACCCTCTGTCCCAGTAAATATTCTAAAATGTGCTGATCTATTGTACACCGGTCACCTACACTTGGGGAGCAGGCAGATTGGTGATAGGAACTTCTAGAACAGACCAGCCGGTGTCAGGGAGGAGCTGTGGGGATCCTCGTGAGAATGGCCAAGAAGAACTTGCTTTCCTTATCCTAGTCTCCCTTTTCATTATCAGCTCCTACTAGATTCAACTCTTTCTATAGCCTTTGCCATTTACAGACCTGTACATCCTCAAAACTGTATCTGTGCACATATTTTTACTAATATAAAACTTTGCCATTGTGATGGATGTGCCACAACTATACTCATGTCTGACCAAAGTAGAAAGTTGGGATTACCTGGGTTTCTTCCCTTTATCTTATTTTCTATATCTACCTCCTAAATATCTCTATAATTCCCTTTTCTGCATTCCATCTACCTCTTCACCAGTTTGAGGACAAATACCTCTTTCCTAAACTATTTTAAGGCTTTTTAAATAGTCACTTTGCTTCTAGTCTTGAACTGGAATTCCATCTCTTACATCTATTAAATTCTCTAAAGTTCTTCATTCTTGTCTCTCCCTTCCTCTTTTTTCTCTATAGACCTTCCTTGGGAGATCTCATCTACTTCTGTGGCTTTGATTAATGTTGATATGCTTAAGATATGCTACAGATGCCACAGTATCCATCTGGGACTTTTCTCCAGGGGTCAAGACCTTTATATCTGCCAATTCTCAACTTGTCATAAAAGGAATTGACCATTTTCCCTCCAACAAGCTCTTCCTGCTCTATTCCCCATTTCAATGAATGCCACAACCTTCTTCCTGCCTAGCTGCCCAAGGCATAGACTTGGGTGTGATCTTTGATTTGTCCATCTCCCTAATTCCCCAAGTCAAGCCAATCATCCTTAACTCCATCTTCTTTAACATCTCTTGGCCTGATCTCTTACTACCACCCCTATTATAACTACCCTGGATTTACCCCAAGATCTCATCTAGTTTTTTTTATTTTTAAGCTGGATTTCTGCATCAGTCTCTTAACTGGTTTTTTGGTCTGTGCTGTCCTGCAATCCCTTTTTCATAGGCCAGTGAACATGGTCTTTCTAATCTGCAAATCTGCATTCCTTTGCCTGAATTCCTTCAATGCCTACCCATTGTTCTTATAATAAATATCTTTGGCTTATAAAAACCCATTATAGTCTGGTCCCTACTTGCCTTTCAAACAATCTTTCTCCCCACATACTCCCACTGTCACTCACAATAGTCCAGTCATTGGAATTCCTCAGTTTCTTGAATGTACAATGCTTTCTCTTACCTCTTTCACACCATGTTTTCTTTCCCTATGTTCTTTGCTTAGATGTGTTCAAGGCTCCATCATGTGGAATGATCCATGTCCATAATCATCATAGTATTTCAAAGTAATTTTTAGAAAAAAGGAATTTAGGGCATCATAAATCATACGAACCAAGTCGGAGAACATGTTAGGAAAATGCAGGCTGTTTGCAGATCCCTGAATATTTTCTAGGTTGTCCTGGTAGCTCTATGTGAAAAGAGGATGATGTAGACTTTTGCGGGTTAACTATCAAAAGTATCTAGATTAGTGGTTCTAAATCGGTGTTTTTTGCACTTCACGATACCATTTGACAATGTTTGGAGAAGTGTTTGATTGTCACAAGTGTGTGGTAGAATGCTAACTCGTCGATATGAATAAAGGTCAGGGGTGCTGTTAAAAACCCTACAATGCACAGGGCAGCCTTCTACATCAAAGAATTATCCAATCCGAAATGTCAATTTTACCAAAGTTGAGAAACCATGACCTAACTGAAATTAAAATTTCATATTTCACTCAGGCACACTTTTCTGGAACATAAACAATATTAATCTTGCAACAAGAAGACCAGAGTCCAGTCCTATCCAAAAACCTCTGTTCTTATATTTTGATTTTTTTTCATCTTTAAAATGGTAATTTAGTACCTGTCTCATGGGATTATTATAAAAATTAAATATGATGATGTATGAGAAAACCCTTAGTTCAGTGTCTGGAGAATAGTAGTTGCTCAATAAAATACTTGTTTAAAAAAAACAAAGTCTGACACATGGAAGATGGAGTTTATGGGGTGGGAGATGAATAGAATTTATCCTGAGTGGTTCCTGAGTGCCTCACTCTTTTTTAGGATCGGTACACTTCTGAGAACACTTAAGAGAAGAATATGCATTGACAAAGATCCAAGGAGGTACACATACATACTTTTTGCTCTTCTCGCTCTATGGCTGCATTACACTTTTCTAACCCGCAGCTCCTCAAAAAGTCTCTGAGATAGCCAAATAGGGTTCCAAGTCCATATCCCAAGTAAGTGAAAACCATAACGTGAAGAGGTGCTTCCTCAAAGGATTCAACAATTGGCTTGTAAAAATGGGGCCTCCCATTTTGCTGAAAATGCAAAAGAAAATAGGTTAGTTCTCTTCCATTACAATAAAATATATATTTAAAATTTTTGACTTTGAAAATTTTAACTTTCAAAGGACATGTTTAGAATCATAAAAAGTGCTTAAAGAAAAGTGGAAGTTGATCATGAAAGAGGGTAATCAGAAAGGTTCATTTTATTTTACAACCCCCTAATAAAACAATTGATTCAGGCAAAAATTCTCAACAGATGCTAAATCCATTAAATGAAAAGTTAATGAGGAATACAGTTTTTGCAAGATGCCAAGTATCACCCCATCGGTTACTCCCTGATCACAAATCTGAGGTTACTACCTTGACCGGGTGATCAAATTCCATTACCAATGTTGGAACAAGGGCATCTGTGCTCTTATCATAATGTAATATTCAATACACTAGTGATGCATTTAACCTGAATTTAGTCAAGTTTTTATATGTAACTTCCATTTCACAAGAAACATCAAGATAAGGGGATGTGGCAAATGACTTCATGAGGAAACAATCAGATAAACCACAATGTGCACAGCAAAGGAAATTATCAACAAAATGAAAAGGCAACTGATGGAATGGGAGGAAATATTTGCAAACAAAATATATGATAAGCGGTTAATATCTAAAATAAAGAACTCATACAACTAAAAACCCCTTATATAACCTGACTTAAAAATGGGCAAGATCCTGAATAGACATTTTCCCAAAGAAGACCTACAAATGGCCAATAGGTATATGAAAAGGTACTCAACATCACTAATCATCAGGGAAATGCAAATGAAAACCACAATGAGATACCACCTAACACATATTAGGGTGTGGTTACTATCGAAAAGGTAAATGATAACAAGTGTGGGTGAGGATGTGGAGAAAAGGCAACCCTTGTACACTGTTGGTGGGAATATAAGTTCGTACAACCATTATGAAAATGTACAACCCATATGAGGTTTCTCAAAAAATTAAAAAAATAGAACTAACACATGATCCAGCCATCCCAGTTCTGGGTATATATCCATAGGAAATGAAATCAGTGTCTTGAAGAGATATCTGTACCTCCAAGTTCATTTCATCATTATTTATAATAACCAAGATACAGAAATAATCTAAGTGTCTGTAGATGGATGAATGGATAAAGAATATAAAATATTGTAGAATATTATTTAACCACAAAAAAGAAGGAAATCCTGCCGTTTGTAACAACATAAATGAACCTAGACTACATTATGCTAAATGAAATAAACCAGGCACAGAAAGGCAAATACTGTATGATCTTACTTATATGTGGAATCTAAGAAAGCTGAACTCACAGAAGCAGAGAGTAGAATGGTGGTTACCAGGGACAGAAAATAGGGGAAATTGGGAGATGTTGGCCAAAGTATGTAAGTCTTCGGTTATAAGATGAATAAGTTCTGGAATCTAAATGTACAGCATGGTTACTACAGTTAACAACACTGTATAGCATATTTGAAATTTGATAAGACCATATATCTAAAGTGTTCTCACCACACACAAAAAGTGGTAACCAGGTGAGGTGATGGATGTTTAATTAGCTTGGCTGTGGTAATAATTTCACAGTGTTTACATATATCAAATAACATTTTACATCTCAAATATATACATTTTTATTTGTTAATTATACCTCAATTAAACCTGGACAAAAGAAGAGAAAAAGAGGGGTGGTGGAGGGGACTTAAAAAACATAACCCAATGCAGTGTGTGTTCTTTCATTGGATCCTGTTTTGTTGTAAAAACTTGATTAAAAAATACATATTTTGAACAACTGCATAAATCCAAATATGGACTGGATATGTATCTTATTAAGAAATTATTGTTCATTTTGATAGGAGGGATAGTAGTATTACAGTTATATAAGGAAATACTTCAGTGCATGCCAAAGTATTAGGGGAATTAAATGTTATGACACCTGTCATTTTTTTTCAAATGGTCCATCAAAAATTAAATATATGTATGAAGCAACTTTGGGAAAATGTTAATAACTGTTGAGTCTATGGGGCGCCTGTGTGGCTCAGTTGGTTAAGTGTCCGACTCTTGATTTTGGCTCAGGTCATCGTCTCAGGGTTGTGAGATTAGCCCCATGTCAAGCTCCGTGCTAAGTGTGGTTCCTGCTTATTGAGTCTCTCTCTCCCTCTCCTGCTGCCCCTCTCCCCACTCTCTCCCTCTCTCTCTTAAAAAAAAAAAAAAAAAAACTGTTGAGTCTAGGTGGAGGTCATATGAATGTTTGTTATATCATTTTTTCACTTTTGTGTGTGTTTGAAATTTTTTATAACAGAAAGTTACAGGAAGTTTTTCTTTCTTTATATTAGGTGTCAATAGTCCAGTGGAACATAACTTTTTAGTACCAAACCATTCTGATTCCTGTTTAACTGATTTGCACATAGTAACACAACCAATATTAGCTCAGTGGATTAATGAGTAAATTATTCCTAAGGATAAGATTTAATTTTTAGTCTTTAATAAGTATTTATACATTAATTCATTATTTCACTCAACAATCATGATGCAATGCCCAGATTCCGCATTTCTCAATGAGAATTGTTTTGACCACTTGGAATATATAACTTTTAGTGACTTACAGGAAACTGTCAAATGTCTACTAATATTTAATGCATTAATTTATTTAACTTACACATATATATTTAGAATGATGCATTATATAAAATCTTATTAATTAGAAGCATTGTTTTTGCTACTGTCATAATCTTTGTTGCCACTATAAAGACTGTTTGATTCCATCAACACAGTTTTCTAGAGTATGTCACCTTCCTTTCCCCTGTGTTTTTTGAGCTGCAGTATTTTGGAAATCTCCATGTGACTTAGTCACTGCAAGTTTTATCCCAGGCCACAAGATATATGACAATCAAAAAACTCTGTCTGTAGATGAGTATTTATGTCTACATCTCTTGTTTTTAAAGCAATTTTTAAAAAGCCTTTTTATAATGACACTGAACACTTGAATTGTTAAGTCAAAACCCCCATGAGATATTACTAAATCTTATTAAAATCCCTTGCCTCCTTATTTATGCATTCTATCAGGTTGCTTCTCTAGATACTCTAAATTAACACGGATGGATGTTGCTCTTGTCTCATATGTCTTCCCCAAACATTACCTGGTGTCTCAAATAATGACAGTGAGAGAGCATTGCTTAATATGAGGTCTTGAATGAGAGGTTATAAACAATGCCTTGTATTTGGGATTATAGGGCATTCATTGGGTGCCCTATAATGCTACTGTGAGCTGACTATGTGCTGGGCTCTGGGGATTCAAAGATGAACAAAACAGACCGGGTCCTTGGTTCCTGACTTCTTGACCTCCTTCTCGCTATGTCCTCCCACCTGTCCTGTAGGTCTGATGGACAGCTGATCTTACTATTCTGGTGTCAGCTTTGGCTCCTATCCTTGGCTCTGTTCTGTGCTTAACCTTTGGACTACATCTGTGTCTTGCATTCCAAGTGACCTCCTAACCCAGTTAGGAACCATCTCCTGGCTCCTTTCACATCATGGGGACACACCATTGGCTTCCTTCTTTCCTTGATTTGTCAGATTCCAGGAAAAGGGACTGAGATCCTCATGAAGGAGGATTTGATGAACTTTTGTGACTGGTAAGGTAGAACATCAAGGAAGAGGGAGATGGAAAGTATGTGCAAGGAGCATTTTGTTATTGTTGATAAGAAGACAGGGAATTAGAAGGGGGGCTGCTACTGGGGGGAAGACTGAACTGGAGGTGGTTATGGCTCACAGAAGTGGGACTATTTGCCAGGCAGTTAGAGATGCAGGAAAAGAGAGGCCCTGGCTGAAACGGAGTCAACTGCTATGAGGCATAGTTTAAGCCATAGTTGAAGGTGAATGAGATAAAGGACAAATTATGAAGAGAGAAGAACAGTAGGTTTGAGACAGAATTTGGAGACCCACTGATTTTAAGGGCACCATAGGTGAAAAAGATTGAGTGAAAGGGACCCAATACAGGTGACTTCCAGAAACATGACTTAACCTGCTCACAAATTAACCACTTTGGTTGACTCAGAAGACGGCTAAGATGGCACATGTAAAGAGATATACTTCCAGGCCATCCTGTGAGGATAAACTGAAGATTTTCCTTTTTTCCTTTTCTGGCCCTATATCCATTTCTGAGCTCCATATGTGGCCAAATCAAGCAGCACATTTCCCCTGAAGTCCATGGGAAATTTCATCTTGAATTGGTTCTGAGGCAAACCGGCACTGCACAGAATAGTCTACCTAGATGCAAGTAACACTCCCAGTTGGGTGCACAGCCTGGGCTTGTGTAACCAGTTTTTTTGCCCCTGTGACTTGTTCTGGAAGAAAGTTATAACGTAAAGAAGAAATGTTCATGTCCATCAATTCAAACAAATATCTACTTTTTCTCATATAACTTGATTTATTTATTTTAGTTTAATTTAATGTACTTTTATTTGGCAGAAAGAAAATGAGATACCTTGATGGAGAACAAAGTTGTCTGGAAATATATAGGTCTTTCTTAACAGATGGAAAGTGACTCATTTATTACATCCCTTTATTTAAAATTGAAGTCCATCATACCTCTTGGGAGAGGTATCTCAATCTGGGGTTGGATAGTTATTCTGAAAGACGAGATTTTGTCTATTCAAAGTAAGTGAAGCATTAAAATATTGCTTAATAAGTTTGCTGGCCAAAGGCTGACACAGCATGGGAATCCGTAATGCACTTTCTTTCTCTGTTCTACCTTTTCTTTCACAGCCTTGAAAATAAACAGATCCTGAGCCACCTAGCCTAGAGTGCCTGCTCATTGGCAACACAGCAACACCCTGAGATTTGTTCACTTCCTGCATTCCTGTCGCATCTGGAAATAAACAGGGTGTTGGGGCATGCTGGGAGGACCCACTTTTACAGGTGACGAGTCTTCCATTCAAATTAGCAGGTCTTTTGCTGGCTGCCTATTTTAGAAGTCCTATGCTAACATTAGAGGGGATATGAAATTAATA